CCGCGATGCGCGCGCCGAATCCTAGCCCTGTCTCTGGACGGTGCTTTCATGAGCTCCCCATACCTCCCCATGTCTACCCATGTCTCCCCAACCTCAGACCGCAGGGATCATCCTGACGTAGGCTCCCAAGCGAGTGGGATGAGACGGAATGTTGACGACGGCGCGAGCGCGCGCGAGGACCGAGGTCGCCTCTCCCCGCACACACTCCCTGGCGCGTCTAGTCGCACCCTTCCCCCCTGTCAGGCCGCCTCCTCGCCATCGCTCTGGTCGGAGGCCTGCTCCTTGGTCCGGAGGAAGCTGACGCCCGGGCACACCCTCGCAAAGAGCGCCTGCCCGCCAAGAGAGGGGGCGGGGCGTGAATCAGCTCCGGGACACGAGGCCGCGCGCGCAGCGGCAATTCCGCGCCTTGGCACGAGCGACAGCATCGTCGCACGTAGTCTCGAGCGACGCCTCGTGGCAGTGGAGCACGTTGTCCGGCGTCTCGCCGAGCCCGCCGCCGCCCTGCGCACTCGTCGCCGCAGTGCGCAACGGGAGCGAGAAGAACGCGCCCCAGCAGACCGACGGCGCTCGCCGCTCACCTCCCTCCCCGCCCCCGGCGCCGCCACCGCCACCGCCACCGCCACCACCGTCTTCGCCCTCGCTCTCGCTCTCGCCCTCGCCCTCGCCGCGCTGAGCCTGCCCGCACGCCGCGCCCCTCTCCGCCAGCGCGCGGAGCCTCGCCAGTGCGGGCTCGAGCACGGCGCGCGGGTCAGAGCCCGAGGCGACTTCTGCCGAGAGGTGGAGGAGGAGGAGCCCCGAGGGGCACGCGCAGCACGACGCGTCGAGCTGCAGCGCAAAGACGGGCGCACCGCCTGCCGGCGGCAGCAGCGTCGCGAAAGAGAGTTGCTCCTCGGGCGAGCCTGCTGCGGCAGGAGGGGGGGGGGGGGGCCTTAGCATCCACCTCCCAGGACAATGGCGTGGTACATGCGGGCCGAAGGGGCGGCCGAGTAGATCGTGCCCAAATATGGACAGGGCCAAACGAGAGGGGAGCCCAAGCCTCCAAGTGTAGGGCCGCGAAGCATGGGCAGGGCAGGGACAACCTAGGGAGTCCATGAATGGCAGAT